ATTAAGTTTGCATAGGTTTCAGGAGGTGGGCTAACGATTGCAAGCATTTAAAACAGGCTTCAAACAGTTTAAGACACTTTTACAGGAGCGAAAAGGGAGATCGGAAAGAGCTTTAAAAGGGAAACGGAGATCAAAGAGCCCTTTCCGATCTCCCTTTTCGCTCCTGTAAAAGTGTCTTAAACTGTTTGAAGCCTGTTTTAAATGCTTGCAATCGTTAGCCCACCTCCTGAAACCTATGCAAACTTAATCTCCCCAAAGTATTTTTTGTCCTTTATCTCCCCAAAGTATTATTTCTCCATGGAAGAGGTGTGTGTGTTTTGGTCTTATTATCAGGTCCCTTCAGAATTTGTTTTGGTAATATTTTTGAACTTAGCAAAACATTGCATGGGCATGTAGCATGTTGGATTTGGTTATTGTTTCTTTTACACATCTGTATCCTTCTTCAACATTTCTGGCTGTTCATACTTCCTGATCTGGAAAAAAAAACCAAGAAAGAAAATAGCTTACAATGTCTTGCCTTGAGCTTTAATAATAAGTGTGGGAACCTGCAGAGGGAGCTGGCTATCAAAAAGGAGATTGGACAAGACAGGACAGAACCTTTACATACATCCTCACTTACCTCATTAGAATCCTGAACCTGGATTTCTGAAAAACTTCTCCTGTTTCCTGTTCTTTTGGAGGAGAAGTTGTCTTCTATCAGATTGAATGGGGAAAGTTGAAATTCTCATGAGAGACGTTTTCAGCACACCATAAAAAAACGAAGTGCACTGTTAGGGTATGTTACTCTTCTGAGTTTTATTTTTAATAGCAGTTTGTGCAGAAAAAAAATATGTGAACAAAAATCCTTAACATGTGCTGCGATTCCTTGAAAATGCAGACACATTTCCCCACCCCCACCCGATTAGTACACCTGTCCTCCAAAATATGCAAATTTCTAGCAAGGTACAGTATGGCTTTGTGCTTTCCTTATAGGTCCCATTTGTGGTGGTGGATGAGCAGCAGGTTCCCCCAGCAGCATGCTTACCCTTATATCAAATCTGCATTGTGATACTGGTATAATGATGCTGGCATCCAGTTTGCTTAACATTCCAGAAGAAAAGCTTGTTCTTTCAGTAAATTGTCACATTTCTCAACAAGCAAGATGTTGCTTTTCTTTGCCTTTTCCTCCTTTGGATCTCTTTGGAAACGTTCCTGTTGACCCCTGATGTTAATGAGGTCAGAGCATTTCTTTTATTCTTGGGATAAAGTGTGCTGCTGACCTCTTGGGAACACTCACATATCGTTATATCAATGTAACCTATAGAGTTATCAGGTCTCCAGCTCTGGCTTGAGGTTTGAGACCTGATAACTCTATAGGTTACATACAGCTCTCAGGATGTGAACAGAATCTGAGAGAATAGGATGCTGTTGACTTGGTGAGCCTGATATTGTTTTTGGATCATATTGACATACCGAACAGAGATGTAACAGAAAAAGGAATAATGTGGCTCCTTTGAGAGTAACAAAACTATTTTATGTGGGCTTTAGATTACAGTACTGTACTTCTCTTCAGACATATGGAATATGGTATCTAGGCTACCGTTTATATATACATAGTGTATATGGTTTGGAGATGGAAATGGGATAAAGTGGAATAGGAAGCATCTTTGGGGAATGTTGAAATTCTCATGACAGCCATATATTCCTAGTAATAAGACTCCATCATGATAGAGGCATTATTAACACAAGTAGTGAACATTCAAGGTGATTACACTTAACATCCTAACAAGAAAACTGCCGGTAAACCCAAATTTAATTTTGTCCCACCTCTGCTTTAGAAAACTGTTCTTTTTACATCTGGCAATGCATTTGCTTCTTTGCAAACTTAACCTTTCGAAATTTCTCCCAACAGACTCTGCAGAGGTATACCCTTGCTAAAATTACTTCATTGGTTGCTACCTTCATTGTGTCACCATGTTCATTATATAGACACAGCATCTTGCAATTGTTGCTGTAACAGGTCAAGAACATATCCCTTAGGACATCACCAGGTCACACCTATAGGTCTCAGGATTTAAGTTTGAAATCTCAAGGAATGGGGTACCCCTGATCTGCCACAAATCTGCCACCTTAGCTACCAGCAGACTGCATTCAAACTCCATACTATAACAGATTTGCATTTGTAATGTACAGTACAAAGCCCTCATTACTGAGTCACCAGGGATGATGTTTTTGGTTCCAGTTATATAACCTGGAAGGGGGACGACAGAGGATGAGATGGTTGGACAGTGTCACCGAAGCAACCAACATGAATCTGACCCAACTCTGGGAGGCAGTGGAAGATAGGAGGGCCTGGCGTGCTCTGGTCCATGGGGTCACGAAGAGTCGGACGCGACTAAACGAACGAACGAACGATATAACCTGGCAAGCTTTTGTACTTTATCTCAGTGCCAAATAAATCCACCTTCCTGATCTTTGTTTCAGCTTGTTGTTGTTGTTGTTTTGAAATTATTTGCTTTACCAATTCACAAGAACTGCTTTTTAAACTTCATAGACTGCACCACATATGGTGCACTGAATGTGTAACTAAGTGGGTCTCCGGGTGACCTAGTTACACAGTTAAGAACTTCATCACAAATGATATGTGACATGTATTGGAACCTTGGGACCTTTTGTTCATGTGAGAATTTAAGCAACAGTTCAGCTATAAATTAATTTTCCTGCCGTTCTTTTGGATCTGGGCTGCATTGAAGTGATATTTGTGTGATTTACATTGTCTTATGCACACAGATTTCATTACACAATTCACATAAAGTTATATAATATAATTTACATTGTACAAAGACAGAAATGGAAAATTAAGGCATTTACAGAGTTTAATTCTTTTTAAACTGCTCTTATATATCATTGTGAACCAAGAGTACAGTATTTTGTATTTGTATGTCCTGTACATTAGTGAAAGGAGTCTCTGAAAGTCAGGCTAGATGTGACATAAAACAGACTAGTATTCTTGGAGTCCTCTCTCCTGAGTTCCTGCCTTATGACTAATCCAAATCAAATATTTGAAGGGCCCTCTCTAGGGATACAGGTTCTGCCCTCCTAGCTGTTACTGCATCACTGGTTCTGATAAAACATTTTTAACCTCTACTGATTTCTCATATAGGATCTTCTAATACCTGAGCAATGGAGAATTCTGTGATTCTGAGTAATACTACTAGTACACTTCTCCCTTGAACTGCACAGGTCTGAACAGCGTGGTTTTGGTTTTACACAGCTTTTAAATAAATACTGTGTGTCTAGCCACTCACAACCAGGGGCATGAGTTCAGAATAGAAGGCATAGAAATAATCTGTTGTTGTTGTTAGCCATTTAGTCGTTTCTGACTCTTCGTGACCCCATGGACCAGCGCACACCAGGCCTTCCTGTCTTCCACTGCCTCCCGGAGTTGGGTCAAATTCATGTTGGTTGCTTCGGTGACACTGTCCAACCATCTTGTCCTCTGTCGTCCCCTTTTCCTCTTGCCTTCAGACTTTCCCAACATAAGGGTCTTTTCCAGGGAGTCTTCTCTTCTCATGAGATGGGGCATAATAGTTATACACGGATTTTGAACTACACAAAGGTATTGGCGCCCCTTACACCAGCGCTGTTGAAGGGACAAATCTAGTAGTAGTAGTACTTCTTGGAATTGTTGTTTGCAGTATATTCCATTCTTGAACTGGATCATCTTCTTATGGCTTCAGGATGAAGAAAAGCAAGACAGTTCTAAAAGTACATGAAACAGAAAGGGAAAGGGGGGAGAGGGAAAGAAAGGGAAAACCAAGAACTTTCAGGCACGGCATGGCTTGTAGAATGCCCAACTCTGATGGAAAACAGTATACACACTTTTTGATAGCAGATATCCTGGGTCCCTGAGAAATAGCAATTTATTTCTGTATTTAAAACATTTATACTGAGCTTTTTCTCCTCAAGACTATCCAAGGCGAATTATAATATTAAAGCAACAGAATTAAGTGTCCTTATGAATTATGACGTTCATGAGCATTCTGTGTAATAAAAAATTACAGAAAATTGTGACTCATGGGCATTTGACCAATACAGTTTCAACTTTCAAGCAATTTCAGAGGGCTTTGAGGTATAGGTTAGTCTTTAAGGAATCTATTGATTTTTGCATCCTACTGTGCTTAATAATATATTGTTGTGTTTGTTTCATTTTAGGGAGTGCTGTCGCTTTTTTGGAGACAATGGCTTGACACTGAAGGCATTTTTTACCAAGGCAGCACCCTTTGGTGTTCTTTGGACACTCACAAACTACCTGTACTTACATGCAATAAAAAAAATAAACACTACAGATGTCTCCGTGTTGTTCTGCTGCAACAAAGCTTTTGTTTTCTTGCTTTCATGGATTGTTCTTAGGGACAGATTCATGGGAGTGAGGGTAAGTCATTAACTATATTTTCTTTTTCATTGTTATATCTATTGTCACTGTTATTTTTACCTGCTCTCAAGTCACTTCCAATTTATAGCAATCCTATGAATGAGCAATCTCCAAAATGTCGTATCCTCTACAGCCCTGTTCCGCTGTTCTAAATCCTAGCCTGTGGCTTCCTTTAGGGAGCCAATCCACTAATATTTGGTCTTCCTCTTTTCCTACAGTCTTCCACCTTTCCCAGCATTATTGTCTTTTTCATAGAATCCTAATGATGAGCCCATATGAAAATGTTGGTTTCTCCATTTTTGTCTCCAGAGATAATTCAGGCTTGATTTGCTTTAGGACCCACTTGTTCCCCTATTTGGCAGTCCAGTGTATTTACAAAACTTTCCTCCAGCACTACATTTCAAATGAATCATTTTTTTCCTATCAGCTTTCTTTAATGTCCAGTTTTCATACCCATACATATTGACTGGGAATACAGTAGTGTGAATGATCTTGATCATGTTCTCCAGTGACACATGCTTACACTTGATTATCTTTTCTAATTCCTTCATTGCTGTCCTTCCAAATCTCAGTCTCTTGCCGATTTCCTGGCTGCAGTCTCCATTTCATGATTGAACCAAGGTATACAAAGTCTTTATCAATTTCAATTTATTTATTGCCAACATTAAAGTTGTGTAGTTTTCTTAACATTCGGCTGTAGTCCTGCTTTGGCAATTTCTCTTAAATTATTGATGTTTCTTCCACCAGATTTTCACTCCTCCTTTATCTGAATCTAATCTGGCTTTCTGTAAGATACGTTCTGCATACATATTGAAGAGATAAGAAGATAAAATGCACCTTTTTCTGATTTTCTTGCTTTAATCAAATAAATAAATAAATAAATAAAGGAAAACATTCTCTCCCTCCATATTCTTCCCTAATGGTAATTTCTTGCCCACAAGACAGGTTACACATCAGGACAATCACGTGCTGAAGCACACCCATTTCTTTCAGAACAACCCATAGTTTCTCATGATCTACACAGTCAGGGGCTTAGCATACACTGATCTTCTTTTGAAATTCTTTGGTGTGCTCCAGGGCCAGCAGATATTTGCATTGTGATCTCAAGTACCTCTTCATTTTCAGAATCCAGCTTGAAAATCTAGCATTTCTCATACCATATAAGGCAAAAGACTTTGTTGCAACATCTTGAGCATCACATTGTTTGCATGGGAAAGAAGAACAATAGTCCTTTAGTTACTTCATTCCTTGGCATATCCTTTCTGGGGGACTGAAATTTATATTCCAGTCTGCGTGCCATTGTTTTGTTTTCTGTATTTGTTGGCATATTCTTGTTAAGATTTTGATAGATTCAGCGTCTGTGGCTTGAAATAGTTTTACTGGTATCCCATCAGACTAACATGGCTACCTCTTCTAAAATTATGTCTACCCAAGTGATTTATTTCCTCCCAGTGCATTCAAGGCAGCTTTCATTTTACTTTCTAGAACTGCAGGTTTTTCATCATAGGATTCATCTGCAAAGGAATCTGCCATTCTTCTGTAGAGGTCCTCAATATACATTTCCCATCTTCTCTTTATTTTTTCCTGGTCAGATAGTGTGCTTCCCTGTTGGTCATTCAGGATTCCTAATATAGGCTTTAATTTCACTTTGATGTATTGGAACTCTTGTTTTCCCCCATTTGTTGTTCTCTATTTATTTGCATTGGCTTCTGTAGCAGTTCTCTTTGTCTCTACATAACAATCCCTGAAAAAACTGCATTCAGGCTTCTGATTCTATTTCTGTCACCTTTTACTTTTGCTTCTTGCCCATCTTTTAATATTTTAAGTGTTTCTTCCATAATCCATCTAGCTTTTTCTTTACTACAGGAATTGTCTTTTTGCATTGTTGCCTAATGATATACCTGGTTTCAATCCACAATTCTTCTGGTTCATGGTCAGTTGAGTTTAGGAATGCAGATCTGTTCTTTGTGTGGACATTAAATTAATCAGGAATGTTGTTTAAATTATATCTTGGCACTGCAATTATTTCAGTGTTTTTCCCAGTTTATTGAAATGTATATAATAGTTTATGATCAAAACCACAATCTGCTCCTGGTCTTGTTTTGGCAGGGAGAATTCAGCTTTTCCATCTCCTGTTTCCAACTACATAGTCTATTTGATTTCTGTATTGATGGTCTGGGGATGCCAGTGTGTACAGTCATCTCTTTGGCTGCTTGAAGCATGCATTTGCAATAAACATTGTTGGCTTCACAGAATTCTATATTTTCCTGATTCCTTTTCATCCCCAAGACCAGGGATCTCCAAACTATAGCCCGTGGGCCACATCTGGCTGCCTTGCCTTTTTATCCAGCCCAGTCCAGACTCTAGGACCTTTCCCACCCTGCCCCCACCTCCCTGCCTTCCCTAACAGTGTCTGGCAACAGGATTGGTCTCCCACTTGTCCCCTACCCTAACATGCGTGCTCTCGCTCTCTCTGCCACAGGGAAACAACAAAGTTCCTGCCCTTCCCCAGACTTCTCTCTTCTGATCCTCATACTAGAAAGTTTGGAGACCCCTGCCCTAGACCAAATTTAGCAACAACAGTTGGTTCTGCTTTGTTTCCAACTTAGGTGTTCCTGTCACCTATGATTATAATCATATCTTGTTTTGGTGTTTGATCAGTTTCCTCCTGAATGCTTAAGAGCATAAGAACATAAGAAGAGCCCTGCTGCATCAGGCCAAGGGCCCATCTAGTCCAGTTTCATGTATTTCACAGTGCCTCTGGGAACACATGAGGCAACTAGATACCTGTCTCCTGGTACCCCTCCCCTGCCACTGGCATTTGGAGATACCTGACTTTTAAGCCTGGAGATTATACATCCCCATCACGGTTTGTACCCTGCAAGGGACTTTTCCTCCAGTCCCCTCGGCAAGGCTTGTTCTTCTGTACATTTTAAGATTTTATCTTGGAAAGCTTGCATAAAAGCTTTCAATTTGATCTTGTTCAGCATCTGTATCTGCAGCATAGACTTGAATGATGGTTATGTTGTTAGATTTTTCACAGAATCTGACTGATATTATTTGGTTAGACCTTGTGTTACAGCCTCTAACTGGCTGTGCTACATCTTGTCTCGGTGCTAGAGCCACTCGGTTTCTTTCCATTTATAATTTCCAAAGTAGAACACTTTGTAGTTGCCTGACTGAAAATATCTCATTCCAGTCCACTTTAGTTCACTGGCACCAAGCACTGCAATGTTTATGCATTCCATTACTTGCTTTCCAGTTTCCAGTTTACCTTGATTCATACTTCTTACATTCCATGTTCTAATTGTATGTGCCGTGTCGCATCGGACTTTATTTTCAATTCTGTGCACGTCAGTCACTAAGTGTCCTTCTGGCTTTGATCTAGTTCCCTTGTTAGCAGCAGCACTTTTTGTGCTTGTTCTTTGTTTTTCCCCAGTAGTTGATTTGAATGCTTTTCAACCTAGGAGTATCATCTTCCAGCATTAGCTAATGTTTCATTTTGGTGTGGGTTATAAAGGTAAAAACAGTGGTTTACCATTGCTTCCTGTTTTCAAGGTAAGAAAAGTTAGGCAGTGGTTTAGGATTGCCACCTTTCATGCAGTACTAAAAAAAGTTAGTTTGAAGTTATTTGTTGTTGCCTCCTCTGAGAGTGTCACCTTCAGCTACCACTGTTGTCATCTCCATCACCATTAGAATTAGCCATTCTCTTCTGCTGATGGCAACTATTACCCTTGATACCTCAGCTGTGCCCATTCCACCTTGCATGATGCTGCTAGGAGTCCAGGCTCATAACGTGGCAACTATTACCCTTGAAGAGGGTGGATGTATCTTAGTCTGATACCTCAGCTGTGCCCATTCCACCTTGCATAATGCTGCTAGGAGTCCAGGCTCATAACAGAGTCTGGCCTCCTGATGGCATTGCTCTCACCTTCACTTGGACCCCTTCATCATGTTAATGTGTGCATCCGAGAAGGAATGATGTGACTGCCATCACGTAATTGGCAATCAATGGGCCTAAAATCTGGCCTTCATGAGCAATATATCCGTGGTAAAATCTTTAAAATAATATTACTTCCCTATACATAGTTATTTCACACCATTTTTTAAACATGGCAAGTATAATTAATTTTCAGCCTTCATCTTTTCCAGTTCTTTTCAACACTCTTGTCCTCAAATTTGAGAGAATTTTTTTTTATCTCAAGAGCTTCAGATTAGATTTCAACACTCTTGTACTGAAATTTGAGAGAAAATTTTTTTTATCTCAAGAGCTTCAGATTAGATGGTTGTAAAATGGATTTTATGTCTGGGACTTTAAAAGCATTTTCACAAGCAACTTCAGAAGTTTTCCAAATAATGGTTAGTTCAAGATTACTGGGGCAACTGGCTGCCTAAATCCACTGAGAAAAGTCATTTCCATACAGTAGTGCAAAATAAACCTCTTGAACACCTTCTTGTTGCTGCTGTTATTGTTTGGTCAGTGATTTAAGAAACTGACTATTTAGGTTGTACAATTCCTCCTTCTTTTCTATCAATGTTGACTGGGAAAAGCTGACTTGCCAGAAAATCTATAATGTAGTTCTCAAATAGTCCCTTATAAGGAAAAGAAACTAAACACCACCTTAAAATCAATATATTGTCTGTCTCTCACAAGCAGTTTGTGGTTCCAGAGGAAAGAAGCTGCCTGCCAGTTCAGATTTCATGGAAATGCTGTGTGGTCTATTGAGAATTCAGTCATACATAATTATGATGGCCAGTGACCAGAGGTTTAGGTTAAGCTGTCTCCCAAGAAAGTCGCCCTGAATGAAAGCAGAAAGGCACATTTTTTCTTTCTTTCCTAAACATGCAAAGTTGGCTTCGCATGTTTAGGCTAGTAAGCTATTTCAGCTGTCATCCACACTTTTTGAGAGCAAGAGTCACTGGAGTCAGTGGGGATCAAGGTGCCAAAGGTGATTGATTGAAAGCTGTTGTACTTTTTGTAAAGCTGAATTAACATTATGTCCTGCTTTTGAAAGACGATCTTTATTCAATCTTCTGAGTCATTAGTAAAACATGCACTAATTCAATCTTGATTCAGTCTTCTCCTGAGTCATTAGTAAAACATGCACTAATTCTAGCAAGCACAGACAAATCCCCTTTCTCAGATTAAAAATATCTTTTAACATCTACTGTTGTTTTTCTTCATGGTGGACTGAGTTCTGTAACTGTACCTATGCTGTTTTTATTGTGTGAATAGATGGATTATATACTGATTGTGACATTTTGACATTGGCTGAAATCTTGATGCACAGTTATGCAAACAGTACAACTTTTGGAAGTGAATTAATGGTAGTTAGGAAGTCTTTTGGAATTAAGATTACCAGAAAAAATACTGTATGAACAATCTCAGATATGCAAATGATACCACTCTGATGGCAGAAAGTGAGAAGGAATTAAAGAACCTCTTAGTGAGGGTGAAAGAGGAGAGTGCAAAAAATGGCCTGAAGCTCAACATCAAAAAAACTAAGATCATAGCCACTGGCCCCATCACCTCCTGGCACATAGAAGTTAACGATATGGAGGCAGGGACAGATTTTACCTTTTTGGGCTCCATGATGGTGACAGGAGCCACAAAATTAAAAGATGCCTGCTTCTTGGGAGGAAAGAGATGACAACCTAGACAACATCTTAAAAAGCAGAGACATCACCTTGCCAACAAAGGTCTGCATAGTCAAAGCTATGGTTTTTCCTTTCGTGATGTATGGAAGTGAGAGCTGGATCATAAAGAAAGCAGACCGCCGAAGAATTGATGCCTTTGAATTGTGGTGCTGGAGGAGGCTCTTGAGAGTCCCCTGGACTGCAAAGAGAACAAACCTATCAAATTTGGCAGGAAATCAACCCTGAGTGCTCATTGGAAGGACAGATCCTGAAGCTGAGGCTCCAACACTTTGGCCATCTGATGAGAAGAGAAGACTCCCTGGAAAAGACCCTGATGTTGGGAAAGTCTGAAAGCAAGAGGAAAAGGGGACAACAGAGGACGAGAGGTTGGACAGTGTCACCGAAGCTACCAATATGAATGTGACCAAACTCTGGGAGGCAGTGGAAGACAGGAGGGCCTAGTGTGCTTTGGTCCAAGGGATCACGAAGAGTCGAACACGACTTAACGACTAAACAACACGAAGTCTTCATAAATATTATCTGTTATATACTGAATTACATGACTCAGCATGCAGTAGGTAATGTCTAGCTAGATTTCCTAATTTAACGGCAATTCACCTCTAAAAGTTTGCATACCTTTGCAGCAGGATTTCAACCATTATTTCACAAAGTGGCATCTGTATCTCTTCAGTATGAGAATATAAAAAGTTCTCCTGTGGTTGGTCATACAAGATTAGAATAGTGAGGAAAAGGTATTACCTCAGGGCAGAGGCAGCCTCCCAGCAACTCCAGGGTATTTCTATAACCTCTTAGAGGCTTCAGCTGGCCAATTGATTCATCTTCGCCCCACCAACTCACATCTCAACATTCTACACCTTCTGGAACCAAACAGGTTCTTAATTGTAATGTTTTGGTTAATTAATGTGTGTACCCCATCTCTGCTGAATCCAGGAAGATGTCTTAGTGTAATGTTGTTTGATATTAGCAGTTACTGAACCATTCTAACCTCTCTGTTACAGAAAAAGAGGGTTAATTTCAAGCTTCCCAGTTCACTGTAATTTATACAAATACTGTAGATTTGAAATCCAGTTTTCCCCCCAAAAGCCAGAACTGTTTCCACCAAAGATCTGGGATGCCCCACCCAGCTTTTTGCAGTCTCCCCATGCCCTCAAATCCTGCTCTAAAGAGTAAGGAGACTTCCCAAGCTTGGGATGTATGCGTGGAAGAGTACAGATGAGAATGGAACACCTCATAAAACAAGCACAAGTTTGCTTGCATGGCATTGAATTCAGCTTGCTGTGAATCATTTAAATTGCTCTTACGGTCAAAACTGTTCACTTATTTTCTGAAGTAAACACTATCAGCACAATATTCTATTCCCTATTATTTCAAAACTGACTTTAGATGATTTTCACTAAGGGGCCACACCTAAAAATATTGTGTCCTACCTGTACACAGAAAGATCTAGACATAAAACTTCCCATAGTGGTAGATAATGACCCAACTGAGATTTGCATTATTTTTAGTACTAGCAGTAACTCTGAAATACATGTCTATTATTTTTATCATGTAGCATGACTCCTCCAATGACAGAGCGCACATCAACAGTCTGCTAGCTACCATAGTATTACTCCACGTTATGGTTGCTAGCTAGGATATACTTTCAAAGAGTTTTTGCTTGCTGTACTGGGGCCTGATACAGTCTCTTCATAACTGCTAATGTGGCAGTTTTTAGTTTGGGTTGGTTTTTAGTAGAGTACAATCTGTGTGTTTGTGTGTTTTAGTGCTGGCTGTTACTGTACAACATAAAGGTCGATTACACTGGTTACAGTCTTTTAGAAGACACAGGCTAGATGGTACCTTCCTTATTAGAGAGGGCTTTTGAGTGTCTCTCCCAGACTTCAAGGAATACTTAACACATTGGTACCGTGTATCCATACAGATCGTGGCTGCTATACTTGCGATTGCAGGGATAGTCATGATGACATATGCTGATGGTTTCCACAGTCATTCAGTTATTGGAATAGCCCTGGTTGTGGGGTCTGCCTCAACGTCAGCACTCTACAAAGTAAGTATGTTCAGTCTCTCATAATTACCCTGTAGGTAGACCAGCTTTGCACACTGAAGTGTCTTCAGACCTATCCTTCAGTACTTCTAAGAATCAGGATGTACATTTTGTTTACACAAGACTACAGCTCTACACAGGAGTTATGGTATTTAATATACCAACCTAAAAGTGAATTCTGCAAAGCAGAATTGGCTAGGTATCGCGCCAGAGGAGTGGTTGGAAGGAAAATAGCTGATGGAGATGCTGAAGAGCTAGACCCTGGGCCCCTCTAGGTGCCTCCAAATAGAAGGAGCTAAGCATTGCCAATCAAAAGGTATTCCAAAAAGAGCTGGGGAAACACAGATTATAAATTGAAGACATCATTGCCTAGATCCTCTGAAAAATCCCACGAATGAGGCAGGCCCGTTATACAATTAAAAGCTCAGCCTGGAGATGGCCATATTTAGTTCCAGGTTTCTGAAATAGCACCATTCACTGTTTTTGAGACTTGGCACATTTTGCTGCCAATTGCCTAAAATGGCTAGAGAGGGCTTCTACTTCACCTGCATCCATGTGGATAAATCTTTTCCTATTTCTAATGAAAGGAGGATGAAGGAGGTTTCCTTGCTGATTGTCTCTAGAACATTCTACATCGTGTCACAGGATCGTTTGCATGTTTGTTGCTTTTAAATCTGTTTTATCTAACATTTTAATATAATGTTTATTTTATTTAATTTAATTCTTTTTAAATAATTGAATAATGTACTATTTTTAGAATTTAATACTATGTTTTTAATGATTAAACTGCCTTAGGTCCTCTTTTAGGAGAAAGGCGGGTTAAAATATTATTATTAATTCATTAATTCATTAAAATAGGTATGAAAGACATAAAGGTGCCACTGCTTCCTATTCAACTATGTCAACTGAACATTAGAGCTATTCTAAAATCAAGCCAACCACTTTGCAGAAGTCTCCCACTATCCAGTATTCTCTTTTAGGAGTTTTGCTGATTATTGTGTGGATTTTGTTTCTCTACGACACATTCCTTTGCCATATTTTTATGTGTTTTTTAAACACAGAGAGTAGGAATTGTTTTTAACTGAATTAAAATTGGTTATTGTATTCAGTAGAGCAAGAGGAAAAATGGCAGTGGGTCTACCCAATGACCACTGGATAGGGGGAAAGCAATACATATTTTCCTTTGCCATATTATAACTCTCTAACATTAGGGCCTTAGTGTTTATGGCATATGTAGTATAATGAAGACTCTAATCTGCTAGTCTCACTTTGCTTATGCTTCAAAGATTTAATGGTTTTATTTTTTTTTTCAGAATGTGCAAACTCTCCAAAGTTATTAATAATTGAGTACTCAGAATTATGTAAAAAAAACAACACAGAGAACCCACCAGATTGAGTTTAAACACTTGTGAATAGCACCTGCATCGATGTACGGTGGAAAAGAAATATTTACCACCAGTTGTTGGCTTAAATCTGTTGTTGCAGCTGACTCCCACATTTGCTAAACATGGCATTTTCCCACTGCCTGTTTTCCTTCAGCAAACTGAGCACCAGACAGGTGTCTTGTGGATGTGAGAAGAGCAGCTTGGCTTCAGATTTAATACCTACTGGCCTGTATCTGAGAGTTGGCATGATGAGCATATAAAGACAGTGACCAAGTCTCTCTGAAGAGATGTCTCTGTTGCTGTTCTGTCAATGACATTGCTTTATTCCTTTGGGTTAAATGAAAATGCTGTCAGGAGAACTAAAATAAAAGGGACATGTGAGATAATTGCAGGGGGTAGATCTCATTAACACTAATTGTGTAAAAAGGAATAGAATGAGAGGTGACAGCAAATAGAACAGAGACCTTGAGTATGTCAGCAAGTTTTCTGATAGCAATCAGCCATTCCAATACTGTATGCTTCTTAGCAAAGCACAAGTTGGTATATATACAGTATTAATATTCTATACCAGTAACTTTGCAGAACCTTCCTTTCATATCCTAAAACAAGGCATATGAGAAGTATATGGATAAGCAGATGGGTCCACACAATAATATTCAATTAGCCAATTAGCCCCATGTGGTGCAGTGGAGAGATTGATAGCCTAGGAATTTGCAAACCTGGGTTCAAATCCCCACTTGGCCATGGAAACTTATGGGGTATGTGTAGAAGTGGTAAAGCCTGTCCTTAAATATCTCCCTTACCATAGAAGTCCTGTTAGGGTCACTATAAGTTTGTTCCTGCTTGGCAGCACATCACAACATGACACCCGTGCATTTCTCCAGCCCCAGGAGCCGCTGAGAAATTGGCTCCAGAGAGTGCTCACATTTTGGAGGTGATCAGGGGGCTGCAGGCGGAAGGGGGAATGCCTCCCTAGATTGGATTCTGCTGTCATGCAAGCCGGCAGACACTCAGCACTGCATGAAATCCAGTGGTATTAGGACATCAGCCCAGTGGAAATGAGCAATGTCCCCCCAAATAGACGGTCTCTATTTCTTATGCTTATCATGGTAATTTGGTGCCCATTATGCATCAAATGTGTACTGAAATAAATGAGGTGGCCCCAGTGTGACGCACTATGTGACACACAGTGGGATGGCAGTTTCTGGCAGTTGTCGAAAAAAGGCAGTTGGGTAGGAATGCTTTCAGTAGCAAGCTAGTGGAAGGGATTTTGGGCAAAACCCCAGCTGTTCACTGTCCTGCTCCATTTTGCACGGCCACAGTGGCATCTGTCCCTAAGGTACATACAGCTCTGCACACACGAGAAATGCCTAACCAAGCTATCTGGGGTCGGATGTGCACTGAATTAGTACATGCACCTCTCAAAAGCTGCTTAGGATCTGTGCTATCATTTGCTATGCTGAATAACACATTAGGGGTGACCCATTTGGAATTTGAAACTGGTTAGTCAGTGCCTCAGCCCCCAGATACCTGAGGAACCACTGGCAGGAGCCAGCCTGGGCTCATTCAGTCTTTGCTTTTAGCAGCTACAGGAAACCACCAGGACTGCTAAATAGGGCTAGGGAAAGCTGCTAAATAGCTGTTGCCTGTTAAAATTGGCAAATCTGGCTAGATAGGCTAATTGTTTGATTGAGAGAATAAGGGAGCTTTCTAATTTATTTGATTTTTTTATTTTTATTCTCATTTATGATTCTGTATTACAGCCATTGTGGATGCTTAAGTTGCAGCAGTAGTATAGGCAATAATAGCTGAGATGTAATTTTGGTAAGAGGTGCTGCAAATCAGTGTCATAACAGTCCTTGCTTATCTCCAGAACGGTGCAGTATGAGCTATGCCGACACACCTTCTAGTGGCAGGAACCATCTTTTTTTAAATGTCCACACAACTTGCCAGCTTTTGCATGAGTCGGTTTCCTCACTTAACAGTGTCTCATAGTGGTTTTGCTGGGCTGATAAAGCCTGAGGCTATAAAGACTGATGTCAGCAATCTTGAGCCTGTCACCCAGCAATGGGCTTTCAAATGCACTTGAGTAGAGGTCATTACCTCCTGTCAGTAGCTACTCAGTGGGATCTGTCAAGGCTTTCTCTTTCTCCATTTTGCTCTCCATTCCACTGAAGAGCAGGCAGTTTCCATTATAGAACTGTACCGGAGTGGCGTAGAATTACCATCCCAGCTAGAGGGCAGTTTGCTACTGCACAACAATCGATGGTGAGACCCATCTACAAAGCCACTTCTGAATGCATGGTTTTGGCTTTTCAAGGTCTTTTGTAAACCCTGGTTTTCAAACTGTTTCTTGTTTTGTGTTACAGGTTTTGTTTAAGCTTCTTCTGGGCAGTGCTAAATATGGAGAAGCTGCCTTATTTTTGTCAGTGCTAGCAGTCTTCAATATCCTTTTTGTTACCTGTATCCCTGTCATCCTTTACTTTACCAAAGTTGAATACTGGAGTTCTTTTGATGCCATTCCTTGGGGAAGCATTTGTGGATTTTCAGTCCTATTATTGAGTAAGTACACATTTTACTTAGCTAATACTTATACGGTAACACCTCCCTTTCCCATTCTTTTTCCAGGCACAATTCAGAGTGCTGGCTTTAACCTGTTATAAAGCCCTAAACAGTCCAAGCTACCTCAAGGATCACATCTCCATTTATGAGCTGCCCAAGTGTTCAGATAATCAGGGGAGGCCTTTCTCTTGGTCCCATGGCCTTCGCAGGTGCATTTGGTGGGGACACGGGAGAGGCCCTTCTCTGTTGCTGCTCCCAGACTCTGGAACTCCCTCCCACAGGAGGCCAGGCTGGCCCCATCTTTGCTGTCCTTCTGCAAGCAGACAAAGGCCTTCCTCTTCAGCCAGGCTTTCCCTGAGTGACTAACTACCTGGAAGGGGTTTTTAAATGGAGTGTCATGCCTTGTTGCTTTGAATTTTGTGAGTTCAGTATGGTATTTGTTTGATTCTTTTAAATAATTGTATACTTAATGTTTTTAGCTTTTAAATATTGTCTTCTAATGATGTAGATGCCTTGGGTCCTTTTTAAGGAGGAAAATGGGACAAGAATACTTCAAATAAATACATAAACAGACAACTAGGTAGAGTGATAATAAGAAAAAGCCCTGCTCAATTGTACCAAAGATTTCTCTAGACCAACATTGTCTGGACCGTAATGACCAACCAGATGCCACACACACACACACACACACACACACATATATATATATATTTTACAACTAGTAGCCTTGATAGCCTTGCCCTGCATGGCTTGTTTAATTCCCTTTTGAAGCCATCTGGCTTAGTGGCCATAATCACATTTTGTAGGTGCAAATCCATAGTTTAACCATGCAGGGTATATGAAAAAGTAATTTTTTTTCATCTGTCCTGAATCTCCAGACATTTTGTATTGTTCTTCAGCACCATGTATTATAATACATGCATTGTGTATCTCTTGGAACTTTTTATTTTTATACAAGTAATCTGTAATATGTGCAGCAATCTCTCAACAGATCAAACAATTTTTTTCTTGTTTCAGCATTCAATATTTTATTAAATTTTGGGATTGCTATTACATATCCTACCTTAATATCTCTTGGAATTGTATTAAGCGTACCTGTAAATGCTGGTAAGAATTGTTTTATTTTTAAAAAAATTAAATTGCATGCTTATCTAGTTACAGATTGAACAACAAATAATTTGTATTAAGGCATACATCTTATTTGCAGAGGATAATTATGCCGGTATAAAATGTAATGACATAAACTGCAGTGGTGAAATTTTGCTAGTTAATAAGTCACCACTTGTATCTCTCATCATGCACCAGGTGTTTTGACAAGCTACATCATGAGGAATGCAAGTGTTATCTTGTTAACTAGTGGCATTTTGCCACAGTAGTTTACGTCAGCATAATTAACCAACAGGATTCTGGCATTTAAATAGCAAAGAGGTTTATTGTAGCAATGTGATCAGCCTAATTTTTTCTACTTGTAATTAATATACTGTTATGGTATTGATGTTCACATTGAAAGGCCAGAGTTTCAACTTCATTGGAATGAAGCACTGTGTACAGGCAGATTACTAAGCCCTTGTTCACTTTCTACTTGTATTAAAGTAACTTGCACAGGAAATTTTTCTGTTAGTTTGGGCCCTGTGCAAAATTTCAACATTATGGTTTGAAAGAGTGAGGTCTCAGCAGAAAGAGAGAGGAAGAAGTTTTAAGGTAGTTCTGTTTTAACTGTGTCTCCCGCAAATCTGGATGGTCAGAGCAGACCTACCTTAAAACGTCCTCTCCCTCTCTCTCTCTCTCTGTTTTCTCTTTTTTTCTTAACAAGCTAGAAACAAGGATCAGGTGTGGAGAGGATGGGATTAAAATGGTTAGCAAGCTGTAAACAAGGCTGAACTCCACCCTTCTCTCTGCTGATTCTTCTATGTTTGGCTGAAGCAGATTAACTGGTGGAAACCCGATTTCACAGTGGATCCATTTGCATTTTTCCACTGAGTAACTGCACACACTCACAGCTATTAGAGCTAGTCATCATGATCCAGAATGTAAAATGAGCTAATTCTCAGCTGAGAACCTAACATTTGGTGCACCCAAAACAAGGGAGAGAATTATCCCTTTGGTATTTCAAGCAAATATTAATGTTTGAAGAAAAAATAGCTTTTCTTCAGGGGCAGCTCATGAATCAAGAGGAGGGGTGCCTCACCCCCAAATTTTGTAGGTGACTCTTAGCTTTATCCACAGGTTTTTCATCAATGCCATGATTCCTCTTCACAATCATCTATTTAGGCAAACTATCATATACAGATCCAAAGCCTTTTAATTAAAGTACATTAGTCAATTGCATTTTCTTCTTTAGAATGAGTGGATGTTTGTGGGCAAGGGGAGTAGGAAAAAAAAACAGCTTTTAATGCCTATCCAAATGTCTAGTGACTGTTGGGTTATACTATTCGGTGAGATTAAGGGCAATTTCAGATTTGATACCTTTTGTTGTAGTTAAGACCACAATATTGGTAGTATACCTTAGTTTAGTGTGTTTTAAAACCTAAGGAAATACAAAGCATATTTCTTCAGTGTGAGCATATGTCAGGAAACCTTAAATGTTTTACTTCAATTCAGTGACACAAGATTTTTGTCCAGTAACTCAGTCCCTTGTGTCATAAAGGCAGACCTCTGCCAGTGTTAGCATTCTGAAGATGGCATCTCTTGAAGATCTGAACAGGTTCTGGACAATAGCATACAGTATACTAAAATATACTGATAACATGCTAAAACTCCAGTCCTAGATTGGGAGCAAGGAATAAGCCATGCTGAATTTAGCAGAGTTCCTTTCATATAAACAGAACTTCCAAACAAACAGACACAGGGCTGGGCAAGATTAACCAGACACAGAACTAGTACGGTTCATTCTAGCTGCCATCAGTTTCTTGAAGAGCAGCTCTTTCCCCACTATGCTGCATAACAAGCACAGTACATCCAGGATAGAGGGGAGTGCCTGAAGCGGTTTTTGATATACAGTGGTGCTTCACTAGACGATGATAATCCGTTCCACTGAAATCGCTGTTTAGCGAAATCATTGTCTAGTGGAAAGCATTTCCCCATTGGAATGCATTGAAACCTGTTTAATGCGTTCCAATGGGGAAGAATCATCGTTGTCTAGCGAAGATTGGCCATAGGAAAGCTGCTTTGCGAACCGCCGATCAGCTGTTTAAATCGCTGTCTTGCGAAGCTTAGGTCCCAAAAAAACCTGTTTTGCAAGCGCGGAGGGAGCTGTCAAAATCATCATCTAGCGAAAATTGGTTTGTGAAGCAGGGACCAAACATTGTCCAGCAAAATTCCCCCATAGGAATCACTGTTTTGCGAATCACTATAGCGATCGCAAAAAGTCAATGTCTAGCGAAAAAACTGTCATGCGGGGTAACTGTCTAGCAAGGCACCACTGTATCATGAGTCATCCTGATGGGCTAGTGTAGGGCTTTGGAGGTGCCAGAACTAACTCTCTACATTTAGAGTTAGAGGGTTGAGTATATGGAAGATTTAGTACCACTGGTGGCTTCACTTCATCAGTATTTATTTATTTGCCTCTATGGGACGTCTGGTTGTGTTACTGAGTATGAATGTGATCAACCGTAGATAGATAATGCTTTCTAGGCCCTAATGATATCTGTTCAATGTTTCATGCAGTTGTGGATCACTACTCGAGTGACATTGTCTTCAACAGCGTCCGTGTCATTGCCATTGTGATCATTGGCCTGGGCTTCCTCCTGCTGCTTTTACCTGAGGAGTGGGATGAATGGTTAATAAAGCTGCTCACCCGCCTCAAAGTGCGAAAGAAGGAAGAGATTCCAGAGGGAAATGGAGACATTGTGTCAGGATTGCAAAATAAAAGCAGGAGAACACGCCCATCCATGTCATCGTTCACACATTAATATTATTTTTTTAATGGAAACTCTTAACATTGTATGCTGTAATTCACAGATATTTTCTTTCAAAGCACATATGTTCAATACAGTGTACATAGATGTACAGTTTTGATAATAACAGTCTCAGAGGCATCAAGAATCAGCATGTCCAAATTGCCTGCACTATTCCACATCAGATCTTTCACTTGAGAGAATTTCTTTGACAAAAGGCAAAAATGAAACTCTTTTTAAATGAATGTAATGTATAAATGACTAATCTTTGCATATATTGTTTTAATGATCAGTCATCATCAGAAGCAGGGCATATATTTTGAATATTAGGTACTGAATGACACATCGCACACTGTGATTTACAAATATATATAATATATCTATATATATAAATAGAGAAAAACAGAGAAGAGAAATAGAGAGATGCTATGCTATTGTAAGCTTATTTTTTACCAGAGCTATATGCTAAACATTTTCAAATAAACCAAAAGAAAATATTTCACAAGGGTGAGAAATTGGATGGGAGGGAGATTGCATGGTGCAGATTAAGTGCACTTGGTTCCATAATAAAATTAAGAATACTGTACTTCTTTACATTTTGCACTAAAGCATGAGGGGGGGGAGCAATTAAGACTACTGGGGCGCCACCAGATAGGAATTTTTTGTGTGAAAGCTCCACTGAAATGAACGGCAGCTGTGCAAGAGTATGGGAGCCTCCTTCCTACGTATATGGCTGTCTTGTACACCTTCTATCTATCTTAGCAGACTTTCACCAGGGACAGCTCTCAAGGGATTTGTGTGTCAGATCCTTTACTGTGCATAACTGCACCTCATGCTTAATCTCATGCAAGGGAACAATATAGTGCCTTCTACAGAATTCTAGTCCACTGTCTGTGTAGAAGTAGGTCACACTGCAAGTTGCCTGTGTTGGTCGTATGACTTGAGGAGTCTCTTCTGCAGATGCAGTGTTTTTGAAACTCCCAAAGAAATCAATGAGTGCCTGATTCAAGCCACTGATTAACGGGAGTACAGAACAGAATTCGGGGACTACAAAGTCTTTTGCTACAGATGGATTTTTCCCCCTGTACGTGGGTCTTGGAGACTCTGCTCCTGACCTTTCTTTCTGTCAAATCCTGTGTATAAGAACCTTGCTGAAAAACTAATAATGAAACAATCAGCTACTTACAGTGGAACAGAACTTATGATGTGTATACCAGGGAGAATACAGGGGACTATGAGATGAATAGTCACTTGCTTTTATTTCATTGCTATGAGAGTTGTTTTTTTTTTAAAAAAACATGCAAGATATTTACATCAAAGCTAACACTTTTTACAAAACTTGTTAAGCACCAAGCTGTTTACTTATCCAATTTTGGTTTGCCATTAAATTTCTATCTGTGATAGACCATGTAATATGTACAGAGAAGCAAGCAAAGGTTATAGTTTACTATTTTTGAAGTTTACATTGCTGCATACAAAATGAAAAACGTTATTTTGAAATTTGCCATAACCCAATGATACGTGCTGTCTCCATGGCATTTTTTTATGTCAAATGGGGGTGGCGTTCACTTCTCAACTTTTTATTGAATCAATTTCAGATTCAGTTATCTGCTTGACAAAATTAATAAAAACGACTGAAAGTTCATATCAAATCAAGAGTTTGCTTTGCTTCCTGCATTCTGAGTGTTATTTTTACTAAGAAACATTTTGTTTGACCAAAGTGACAATATAAGAGATACGGGAAAAGGGCCCTTGTACTGGAACCTTCACAAAGACTTTTTCCACAGGGTCACACCCACACTGACATTGCTTGTGCTGTCCATTCAGCACTATATCATTTGGGATGATGCTTATGTGATGTGTGTTTAGGCAATAGGATTCTGACCATAATGGGCAAAAAAGCTTTGGCAATTAAATGTTCCCCTCTTAACTGAAAGGAAAGTGGTGAGATCAGACAGATACCTAAAATGATGATACTGTCTAGACCTGTGGTCCCCAACCTTGAACCTCCAGATGTTCTTGGACTTCAACTCCAAGAAATCCTGACCAGCAGAGGTGGTGGTAAAGACTTCTGGGAGTTGTAGTCCAAAAACATCTGGAGGCCCAAGGTTGGGGACCACTGGTGTAGACAAAAAGGTAATTGACCCATATTGCAAGTAAGCTTAGACTTCAGAAAAGGCTACAGAACAGTTCAGAAAATTTTTTGTTTGTTTGTTCAGTCGTTTAAAGAACAGTTCAGAAAATACATATGTATATATGTATTTACTGTGCTTAGAGAGTACTTAGTAGTCATTTGAGGGTTTCTAGTGTATTAAACATCAGTCCTACAAGTTCCATGCCATATTACCATTCTTGCATGGATGCAAGATTGCTTAGAGATACTTAGTACTGATTTGGGAGTTTCTACAGCAAATCCCCTTCATGGATTGCTGCCCTTTCATGGATTGCTGCTTAGAGATGTACTGATTTGGGAGTTTCTACAGCAAATCCCCTTCATGGATTGCTGCCCTTTCATGGATTGCTGCTTTGTCATGGTGAAGGGGCTTGAGTAATTCCGAGAAGCTATGGGATGGGCCGTGCAGGGAGGGCAGAAAAGCTAAAAATATGACATTGGAAGAAGAGCCCCTCAGGTTGGAAGGCATCCAACGTGCTACTGAGGAAGAGCAGAGGACAAGTAGCTCCAGAGCTAATGAAGAGGTTGGGCCGGGCCACCGAAAGGATGCTCAGCTGCGGATGTGCCTGGAAGTGAATGGAAAGTCCAATGCTGCAAAGAAAAATACTGCATAGCAGCCTGGAATGTAAGATCTATGAACCTTGGTAAGCTGGCTATGGTCAAACAAGAGATGGCAAGAATACTTGTAAACATTGACAGCCTGACATTGAACTAAAATGGATGGGAATGGGTGAATTCAACTCAGACAATTATCATATCTACTATTGTAAGCAAGAATCCCATAGAAGAAATGGAGTAGTCCTCATTGTAAAAGAGTGGGGAAAGCTGTACTGGAATACAATCTTAAAAATGATAGAATGATTTCAATACAAATCCAAGGCAGACCTTTCAACATCACAGTCATCCAAGTTTATGCACCAACCACTGATGCTGAAGA